GCTAATGCTAATGCTAAGGCTAATTCTCAACGCCTGTCCCCAGTTAGGCTTTTACACAAAACACAGTGACTGTACACAACAGAACAAATCACACACTAAAACATCACAGATACAAGATCAGGACATTTAGATTAATAATGTCCACATGTCTGACCTCTCAATAAAAAACCTTTAAGTTTTATTCAAATACAATAGCTTTTGCTACGTTGATTGCGAGGTTCTTACATTTATAAAAGATGAGGTGTACACTGGCAGGTTCAACTGCTAAATTTATCAAAACATGGCAGCCATTTTTACACTACATGGAAACATTCAAAATGAGAATCTTATCATAACTAAACTACTGCTATATTCTTTTAGTCAGCTATGAACAGATTTTTGTATTTTCCTTTGTCTTTGTTATTTATCTATTTATTGTGTATGTGTTTTTTAAGCTTTTACTTTATTTTTAATTTATTTATTTTTAATTATTTTATTTTTTTTGTGTGTGTTTTGTGTAAGGGTTATGTATGTTAAGAAAGACAGCGTTGTATAAAACATGAATGCTGTAAAGAATATGCTGTGAAAATTGATAAATAAAGTTAATAAAAAAAAAAAAAAGTCTTTAAGTTTATGTTTAAAAAGGACCCAGTTTGACTCTCCCTTCAGTTCTGCAGGTAATGTTTGTATTCCAGGTTTTTTGTGCCTTTTACAGTGAAAGTTGATTGTCCTAATGAGGTTTTGCGTCTGTTAACTTTAGCTGAGCATCCCAAATATTAATCTCCTCATCTGGACTAATCTACAGCAGAACCTCTACATGGGAGTTTAAATGGTTATGGATATTTATATGTTGGTTAATATGACCGATATGGCATTATAAGGTTAAAGTCACTTTACCTTCAAATAACTGAACCGTCTGTGCCGTTTATCATGCAGTGAGTTTGGATATCGGTTCAAAAAGGACTTAAAATGCTGTAAAAAAGTATTTTTTAAATATACAGGACTGTCTCAGAAAATTAGAATATTGTGATAAAGTTCTTTATTTTCTGTAATGCAATTAAAAAACATGAAATGTCATACATTCTGGATTCATTACAAATCAACAGCTTAAGAAACCCAAATATCCTATCTCAAAATATTAGAATATCGGATTTTTGAGTTTTCTTCAGCTGTACGCCATAATCAGCAA